TTAGAGCACTGGCTTTGTGGCCTGGGTCCTGTCCGCCAGTCCCAGTACATTTCTGTAAATCTTTATTGATTGCTACTGTGTGCCTGACACTGGGGATCTAACAGTGAGCAAAACACAGTCGCTGTTTATGTGTGTTTGTGTGGAAGCAAATAGTGAAATAAGGATCATGAAAACAGGAATGGCTTGTTATTGGTCACCAGTGTGTCCCCAGAACCAGCACAGGGCCTGGCTCATACAAGGCAAATCTTTATTGAATGAATTCTCCTAAGGAGAGAATGCAGCATACAAGTTGTATATGTAATAGGATCCTAAAAATCACTTGTGCATAGAAACACATGGCATATAAAGAGAGTTTGAAATGCATCAAAATATAAAATGGTTGTCCTTTTATTGTGTATGTTTTATAGAATATATATTCAGTGAAACATGAATCAAACTTAGTGGATGGTCTCCAGCTACAGGGGAAAAGCCTATTGATGTTATTTATTGCTTATTTATTCTGATTCAATCCTCACTAGGTTTTGCTACCAGTATTTTCTTGGTTGCTTCTAACTTCCCCTCAAACAGGCCCCAAACTAATGAACAAAAGAAAACACATTGCCCTAAGGACATTTGGGAATAGCATATGATATTATCTATATTGCATAAAAATTAGAACATGACACCATGGTTTAAAAATAAAAAAGCAACAGCCTGCTAACCAATACCTATATGATTTGGGGGCAACAAGCAGCCTGTTACCTTTTTGTACAAAAAGCACTGCGTGTCCTTCCCAATCCTTCTAAACCCCAGGCCCGAGCTCTCACTCTCACTTAAGGGCTCTCTGGGTAACATGTGCTCCCCAAACCCCATACAAAGCAAGCAGTGAGCTTTCTTGCCCCACACCCTGCACCTCTGGCCCGGACCCTTCTGTAAAGCATATGCCTGGTAACCTGGCCTGGGACCCTTCTGTAAAGCATATGCCTGGTAACACCTGGCCTGGGCTCCCCCAGCCCAACCCAGTGGGGCGCAGCACCCCACTCACCAAGGCTTCACTAAGCCCAGGGGGCACAGGGCAAAGCCTCCCCCGGGCCCAGCACTGGCCCAAGCAACACCTCACACACTGGGCACTGAGGAGCAGGCCCGCACCTTCAGCACCTGCTCAAGGCTTCCCATCTCGTTTTAATTGTTGACAGTATTATTAGTTGTTCCTCATTCTGCCGCTCTTCTGCCCCCATCCATCCTGCCCCCGCCCCACTCTAGGCATTCCCGTGTCCGTGGGTTATACATATATGCATATATGTTCTTTGTTAATCTCTGAGCATCTTGATTAGCTTAGTCCTCAAACACCTGCAAGCTTTTGCTAGGGACACAGCTTGGCTCCAGACAAACACTGGCTGCACCAAGCACTTGGCAAGGCTCTGTACCTACCACCGTAACCCCCCTCACCGAGGGCCCTGTGGTGTCCCCACCCTCCTGGATCCCCCACAGAACAACCCGGAGGATCTGTGGCTAAGGCTTCTACCCTGAACGCGCATCACCTGGGTCCACCAAGCCCTGAGCCTCCTCCCCCACACACCAAGCAAAGTTCCCTTTGCCCTCCGCTCCTGTAGACCAGCTCCCCTACCCGCTCTAGTTTCCCTCCAGAGCTGACACCCTTTCCCTTCCCTACCTGAGCATGTGGGTAGCAGGAGCTCTAGGGCCAGCACTAGGATCCCCAGGAAGCCCCAAGAAAAGGGACTCTCCAGGCGGCAGGAAGATGTCCTGCGCTGCTTGTAAGATGCCCTCATTGTCCTGGACTTCGGCGGGAAACTTGAGAGACAGGGAGTTTTTGTGGTTTTGAGGGCGGCTACCAGACACAACAATCCCCAGACTCAAAAAGTGTCAAGTGTGTTGCCGTTAGTGGGCGTGGTCTGGTCCATTGCGTCACGCTGGGGCGGGGCCAATGGCAGGCCCAGGGCTGTGTGTTAGCCCAGGAGGGAACGGGGCGTGGCCTGGCCAAGGTCTCATCCAACAGGGTCCACTGGCAGCTCAGGCTCCCGCTGCTGGAAGCAAGGCCAAGGTTTCCTAGAAATGGGGGGCCAGTGCCTGGTCCTTAACCAGGCAGTTAGCACCCCACTCAAGAAGGATGGAAAGGATGGAAAAGAAAGGAGAGCTGGCCCAGCCGTCCTCGCTTCTTGCCAGGACGCCAGGATCTAAGACTAAAGCGCATGGACCTGAAAATAAAAGCCCAGAGCCCGGACAGCAGGTTGGGTAGGTGCCAGCACCCCTACGGTTCCACTTTTGTCCTGAGGCCTCCAGATCTAGTCTCAGAAAATTCTTTTTCTCGAGATATCGTAAAGACCCAACCCTGAGCCCCCAGTGGGAAAGGGATTCCCCTCTTCCACTGGTGGACACCCCACTTCCACAGATCACAGAGCCAGGGCCTTTGCTCAAATTTGGCATTAATCAGGCATAATTAGGGACAATAGTTGAGATTTCCGTGGTTGAAGGTCTGCCACTGAATCCTCTCGAGGCCTGGTAGATTTCACAATCACCAAGATG